ATGGCCCGAGTCTCGCCACGTAAAATAAGGCAAATTCAATTCAATTCAATTCAATTCAATTCAATTAGCGAAATCCGACGCCGGCGTACACGTTTACTTACACTACTCACTCTATACTACACAGGTTTCCCCCATCCAGGCATCTACTACCTGCGTGGCACCGGCCCAGTCGGGGGCAAGCTCTGGTCGCCAGACGTGTGTAGAATAAGGGGTGTGGATAAGACAAGGAACCGGAAGGAAAGATTATACGCATTTTGTGGCCCGTTTGTTAGAGCACTGCTCCGGAATTCGCCTGTTATTGGAAAAACAACATACAACTAATCAGAGTAGTCGACCACTAAAATTCTTGTCCAGAAAATAATGAAATCGGCCTAGCTATGTAGATAATATCAAAAATATGCCACCGCCGGGGCTCGAACCCTAGGAGGGGCTATTGCAGGGACATTACTTGAAGCCACACTGCTCAAAATCTCATGCATATTTACACAACTACTACTTTAAAAAAGCGCGTTTAAATGAAAACACATGAAGAAAATGAAGTCAAAAGTGATACATACGTGTACTCAATTTCATTTTTGAAAATATGCAAAATATTGCAAATGTTTCGTTTGTCCGTTTCCAAAAATGTATTATTTTTATTTTCTTGTGAATTATTGTATTGTATTTTATCTCCATTCTATAAAAAAATTCAATTTTTCTATGAAAGTAGGAGAAAAATTTGTTACCTTAATTTTAATAGCAGTTTTGTTTTTAAGATATATTATTCATTTTAGAAAACGTTAACTAATTTTAAGAACATAAGATGTCAATATTTAATCAATTTAATATTTAAAATATTGTTAATTAGTTTGTGTAATTCTCATATTTGATTTCGCGGTACAAATGTTTCATTTCATTTTTAGTGTTAACTTTTTTTTAATTTAAAATTTCTGTTCATCAAAACGTTCCTTTTCCAGGTTCCTTGAGCGTGCCTGTCAAGAAGCACTTGGGGCTACCGGCAGCGCGATATGGCAGCAGGGGCTTCCTTCAAAGTCGAAAACGTCAATCCGCTCCCTCCCCCACTCCCAGCCGCCAAGGCCCCCTATGAAGAAGCGAACGACTGGCGGAGCGAGTGGGTGATTCGGGCGCGCTCAGGTGAGCAGAAGACGAAGCTCCAGGGAGGGGGCGGAGGCACAGGGCGGTACGCAGATCGCGACTTGTCGTTGAGAGTTACTGACTTGCATTTTCTTCTTTTATATTACTCGTAATTTAATATTAAATTAATGACACATGCACACAAAACAAAAGACGTCAGACCCAAATACTTGACACATGTTTCTCTATAAATGGCGATGCGCTCAATCTATATCCAAAGATACAATTGCGCCACCGCCCGCCAGTTATTTTTAAATCGCAAATAAAGTCAACTTATAAATTGTAAATTTTAAAGTGATTTTTCGCAATTTAAAATAAACTGGAAAGTGGAGGCGCCAATTCTGACTTCGGATTTGGATTCAGCGCGTCGGTATGCATGTACAAACACGTGTCAAGTCTTTGGTCTGACAACTTTTGGTTTCTGTGGAGTATAATGCTACACGACACCAAAATCTAGTATTCGCTTGTGTTTTTTGCGAATAACGATAACAACTGGAAAGTGAGCGCAGTTCTGGCTTCGGATTCCGATTTAGGACATCGACATACATAGAGAAGGATATGTCAAGTCTTTGGGTCTGATAACAAACCTTTAACAAACAAAAATACAATGTCATGGTGGTTTTTCGAGATTTAAAAAAACTGTAGTGTTTGGCGGCTTTAGATTCTGTTTCAGCGCGTCGACATACACAGAGAAACATGTATAAGGTCTTTGGGACTGACAACTTATTTTTATTTTGTGTGCCTTTGTACTGAAGTTATCGAACCACAAACTAAATATAACATAATGGTAGTCGGAACTAGAACTTAAGACTTCCCGGTCAGAGGCACTGTAGTGACATCAGTTGATGCCCTGAGCCACCTCTCTCGGTTATACTTTCAGTACTCGTTGGGCGCTGTACGTCGCGTGTCTAAGGCCTCATTCACATTGCAAATTTAAACGTAACGTAATGGGGTAAAATGAAATGTAAAATTTACACGTAAAAATAAGCATTGACTATGACGAACCAAAGCTGCAACGTCAGTTTTGTCTGAGCCAATCAGATTTCAACGTATTGAAGCAAGACAGATGGTCGATTCGTATCTAGCATGGTGGAAAGATCTTTTTACCATGGTTTCTAGCTTTCTCTTCGATTTTCCTATCGATTTGTCTTTATATATAAATGGGAGGAGCTGTTGTTTTACAGCGCGCATTTTATTAACTTTATAATTTCCGAAATGAAAAAAACATAAAACTAATTCTAAGAACTAAATAGAAATTCAATTCAATACAATTGAATGATTTTACGTTGCGAGGCTGAGACTACAAGGCATTCCGCCTAACCAGGCAAATTTCCCCATGCTTGTTTCGGCAACTAGCGACGAAACGTGGATTAAAATTTATCCCGGAGGCTTCTTAAAGGCTTCAGCAGTGGTGGACTAATACTTTCTGGGGCCCCAAGCGATTGCAAATGATAGGCGCCCCTCGTTTTTAATTTCTCGATACAGAGTAGGGATAACGTTATGTAATACTGCTCAAAACACGGCGAATTCTAGCAGAAAAACTCTTATTACAGAACGAACTGTCAACGAAAAAGTAGGTGAATTCAAATTTAGAAAAAAAATCCTCCAACACGGAGGATAGCCAGAATGGCTATTTTGTGGATCCTTGACATCGAAAAATCAATTTACAGCAAAACGTCTGTCTGTCTGTTCATCTGTGAATAATTATCCGCTAAAACGATCAGCCCATTTTCTCCTAAATTGATATTCCGCAATTGGGCTGGTTTCTGTCGCAGCTTCTTGAATTTGAAACCGATTTAATATTTTGGGGGTACCTTTCATGAAGCCCCTGAGTTATTTTCCAAAATTAAAAAAAATGGCTCCATCTTTTTTAGTTAAATTGTTTTTGTTGGATAGTGTGACAGTCGTTTAAGAGAATGTTGCAGTTCTCACGTTAGTTAAAAACTATGTTTTTTTTAAAAAAATTGCAAAAGTTCAAACTTTTTTCGTAGCCTTACTGCAACTAAAAAATTAAGAATATAGATTTTCTCTTCATGAAATCTGTTTCTTAAGGATATATTTTGAAATAAGGTTATGTACACCTTTTGAAGAATTTGAGTAATTTTGCGTGAAAGTACGGGCGAGAAAGTAAGTGCTGTTTTGGCATCACTTGTTATTAACTATCTCCTTGTTTTCCACATCAATGTACAATAATTGAATTTTTTCATAGGTTTACATTGTAAAAACAACTTTCTGTTAACCCAAAATTCAAATACTTAAAATAATTTGAATTTTTTTCACTTGCTATGATCTTCATAATTCTTATCCGTTAAATTATCATATTAATTTTTTAATGCTTATAAAATGCTCATTATATATTTGTAGATTTAGTAACGACATATTCCATTACAAAATTGTGGGAAGTATTGAAAAAATGAACATAAATTAGAACATTTTAAAGAACTAATAAATATTTAAATTAAATGAATTCATATTTAAAATAACGTACTTTCTTTTAGCTTTCATTATACATTGTAAGTTTATTTGATTTCTGCATTTACGAACTCAAATGTCTCGGAAAATTAAAACATTATTACAAAAATAGTTACTATTTCTTTTAATTATTTTTGAAGGGGGGCAGATTAAGGGATGAAACCCCTTCATTCCCCCCACATGGAGTCGTATCATATCCTGAAACCTACCCACTCGTTGACTGGAATGAAAGCCCTCCAAATGACAAAACGAAAAACGCACTCCCCAGCCCGTAAAGAAGCACGGGCCATGAAAAGGCTATTGGGACGAATCGTCCTTTTGACATCCATCGCGGAATTGCCCGCCAATAGTTAACCACCGATGTCGCAAAGGCTGGCAGGCAGGAAGCATCGTGCGTCGGTGTGTCTCATATGAGCCCGTTTGACGTGGGCTTGCGAGCCGCCCTGTGGCCCTTTGAGGGGAAAAAAGAACCCGCCTCCCCTGCGGGACGTGTGCTCAGGAGGGCAGGTAATTGGGCTGGAGAAGGGCTGGCGGGCGGGTTACCTCATCCCTGCGCCAGCCAGGATTTCCTGCCGGGAGACGCGCGGCAAAGCTACTCTTTTTTGCTTGTGACCGGTTCGCTGATATTGGGTCCTTTTTTTTCACTACAGACACATAAAGAGAACACATGAATTCACAGATAATACGTATGTGACAATTCAAAAATTCTATAGCGTGCCGGACACACGGACTCTGAGAAAAATGGATATTGTACGGATGACCTTTTAAGAGATGGATGGAATTATTAGTGATTCCGAGAGCGTCTACTGCTAAGGTCATTAGTCCCATAAGTGTAGTGAATGTGTTGTCGCAGGATGTTGCCGAGATCCTTCCCCTCTTTATGGAGAGATCTGGCGCCGACCTACGTTGGCCAGCTGAGTTTCTTCCCTACCAGGAATCTTCCACCAGCAGGGCACCGCCCCAGCCGGGAAAAGTTCTCCCAACAGTGTGAGCATGTTAGTGCAAGTGTGTGTAACGGGTGAGGATATGACACGGAAGAGGAAGCTAAGATTGTACGCGGTCCGTGGCCCGTTTGATAGTTCTGCTCCGGCATTCGCCTGGTATTGATAGGAGAAACCGCGGGAAAATACTGATCTGAGTAGCCGGCCGCTAGAATTCTCCTCCTGTCAGAGACTGAATTCGACCTAGCTGACAAGCAAGTGCCGAAAATCCTCTCCCACAGAACTCGAACCTAGGACCATCCGGTCAGAGGGACTGCAGTGACATCAGTAAATCCCCGGTTCAAGTACGGAGAGAGCACGCACCAAGTAATGAAAAAGAACGTACTAAACGATTGAAACTAATTGATTTTTTTAGGTCAAATTAAGATATTTAAATTTTGACGTTTTTAGTTCGTGCTGTCAATGTATTTTGCTTTATCTCTATACTAATAAAACCAATCATTGTGGAGAAAATCTATATAATTCTGACAACATTTGATATAGCGAACCGAAAAAGAGTGTTCCCAAAAGTTCACTATAACCGCAGTCGACAGTATTCCCTTCCGTACGCTTGAACCATTTGTCCAAAACAAGCTCCGTCCTACCGAAGACGGCGTGTAACGCTCGGCCCCGCACCGTCGTGGGCTGGCCGTCGCCCAGCCAGCGGCTCTGGATCTCGCTGCCCGGTGCTGCTGTTACTGCTGGCCGCCTCCCAAACGCCCAACCAACGCAACGCCCCCTGCGGCCTTCCTTCCCCACCGCCGTCCTTCCTTTGTCCGCGACGCAGCGCGCTGATTCATGGCCGCCGCTCGGCCTTTGTTTTTCGGGGGCCGCACCGCCAATTACGTCGCCAGGGCGACGACGACGACGCCGTACCGCTTCGCGCATGCGCAGATTGTCGCACACTGGTTTGAACTAGTGATACGGCATCGATAACGAAACTTTGATGTTTCCAAACAGATATGTTTAAAGTTAAAACATCGATATTAATAATACTCGACTGAAAACCTTTGATGATTTTAAACACTGTTATTTCAAAGCTTTTTGTTTAATCTCGAGCTTTAAATGTGTTCGCAACAAAATTGAATTTGACAGTGGGCCAATGTTATCAGTTTTATCAATAATTATTACTCCTTGGAACTTCAAATAAATGGAAACTTAATATTTTTGTAAATTTATGCACCAAAAAGTCTGAAATTATAATGTTTCGACCAATGAAACGATTTACCTAATAAGGGAAAAACTTAAATTCTTAATACATTATAGGTTGTGCCGCAAATGAATTTTCATTCAGTATTATTTTAAGAAATTTTTAACTGTTTTTAAAATTTAATTCCTCACTCATAACAATATTTTATATTGTTCTTCAGATACAGTGGAGCTAGTTTGCGAAAACCGTAATCTCTTTTAACTAAATACTCTATGGTTGCTAGAGGTGAGACGGACAATGGAAAGTTATTGATTTCTGTTGCTTGATTCCGCTAAGCTGCAAATCGTCCGTGGTACACAGAAGTATACCAATTAGTGAAATATTCAACTCTTGGAAAGTAATTGGGCGACCACAATTGTGTAATGTGGATATGAAGAATGGACATCAGTAGTTGACTTTGAAACTTAGTGAATGCATTTC